CTGGGCGCGGGCACGCCCCGGTAACGGCGGCCAAGTGTAAGGAGATCCCCCGGGCGGGGGGGGTTGGGACGGCGCTGAGCCCCCGCAGCTCATCACATGCCCCACGTATTTTTATCCTCGTGTTGTGGAAACGGCCCCGGGCACGGAGCCTCGGCCGCCCTCCCCACCCCCAATGCTGCAGAGAAGCGCTGGGATTTAATCCCAGCTTTGTCTCTAGACCCGGCTCAAAACCGGCATTTTTTTATCCGTGGGATAAAAATCAAGTGGGTTTCATAATTCCCTTGAACCTCCCCCCACACCCCACTCCAGCCCCGCCCGCTCTCCGGGTGCTGCAACGCCCAAAAAAGAAAAAAAAAATTATATATATATATATATTAAAAAAAAAATCCCGCACAGCATTCCCGGAGCGAGTTCCAGCTTCCCAAAATTATTTATATCGCCCGTATTCCCCCGGCAAGGTCGCGCCTGGACCGCGCACAACCCACCGGGAGTCGCAATGTGCCAGGAAAAAGTCATGGAAAAATTTCCAGCCCGGCCCCGGAGCCATCTGCAGCTCCATCCCCGCCCGGGCCGGCCCCGCCGCTCCCGGGGCATTCCCGGCGGGAATATTCCCGGCTCCCCGCGCTTTCCGGGGAGTCGGGGTGGAAAATCGCAGCCTTAAAAAAAAATAACCCCAAAAGGAAAATGCGGGAGGGGAGGAGAGCGGCGGGATGGGGTGAGGGAGTGACGTGGGAGCCGCGCTCGGGATTTCCTGGAGCCGCGGCGGCCTCGGGAATCGGGAAAACGGAGCCGGGAGAGCAGGGAAATCCGGGATTGCGGGGAAATCGGGAGAACGGAGCTGGGGGAGAGCAGGGAAAGCCGGGATTGCGGGGAAATAATGGAAAATTGAGCTGGGAGAGAGCAGGGAAAGCCGGGATTTGGGGGAAATAATGGAAAACAGAGCTGGGGGAGAACAGGAAAATCCAGGAAACAGAGGTGAGAGAGAGCAGGGATGTGGGAAAAGCCAGGATTGGGGGGGAAATGATGGAAAAGCAGCCCTGAGGAAGAGCTGGGATGCAGGAAAATCTGGGATTGGGGGGAGATTATGGAAAAGTAGCCCCGAGGAAGAGCACAGATCCTGTCAAGCCACGGTTTTGGGGGATATCATGGAAAACAGAGCCCTGAGAACAAGCAGGGATGCAGGAAAAGCCGGGATCAGGGAGGAAATGAAGGAAAGCAGAGCCCCGAGGATGAGGGGGATGTGGGAAGGGCCGGGATCAGGGAAGGTGCGGCCACAGATCCCTCTGCCCCCAAATCCCCTAAAAATCCTGGAAAACGGCAGCTCCCGGCCTCTCTGCCCCCAAAATCCTGGAAAATGGCAGCTGCCCCAGATCCCCCCAGAATGTGATCCCGGTTTTCCTGCCCGAAGCTCCTCAGAGCCCGGAATCCCAAATTCGGGAAGGGCGGCAGAGCCTTCCCCAGTGACCTTGCACAAGGCCAGGATCCGGCAGAACCCGAGGCCGGGAATCCCTCCCGGGGAATCCCCAGGGATGGCACAAGGTGGGGACCTTCAGCCTCGTGTCCCCCTGGCACCGCTGGGATTTTCCCCTGGGAATGGGCTGGGAATGGGGGTGACATTCCCAGGAACGGGCAGGGAACGGGGGTGACATTCCCAGGG